AGAGCGTAACAAACATCCCTACTTTCACATTTATAATATTATATATAGGATTAAGGCTATACGAATGTTGAATACAATATTTTTGTATTCTCTTTAAGAACACAATTTCAATAAATTAATTGTGCGATCCCAATTCGTGATACTGACAGTCGTTAAATGGATGTAAAATGTAAGGTTGGCGACGAATAAATACAGGCCATTAAATGTCGTGATGTGCCTTGGGCAACCATTATATCTTTTTAGAGGCTTTTATTGTTATTTTCCTAATATACTTATGTTTAGTAATAGTCATTACGACATAAAATTAATGGTTTCCTATAATTAATTTAATTACATATAGATTCTACGAAATACATATCTTTACATAGTATAAAACGAAATCACCACCGCTGTGTGTAGGCTTAGATCTTTTAACGATTCGGATTTCATGCAGTTGTCAGCAATAGATAGAATTAAGAGGTAGACTTATATGTATAGTAAATTCTTATTATAATACAGAAAACCAGAGGGAAAGGGAATTGTTAGTAATGTACATTAGTGCTAGCAATGTAGCATGTCAGATTGAACTCCACGCTATTCCCCCTGAAAACCATCGTGATAAATTCTTGGTGAATTTGTCACGATGCTAACTGACATTACTTCATGCTCATCTTGTCATCCTCCACTGGTACCCCGCCAGCGAAAACCGTTACCGCAGGCCACCATTCCATTATCATCCATAAAAAAAATACAGAAAATCCATCCGTGCGTATCTGGATCCGGGTCGTTATTTCAGTTATATATGTATGTATCTATTTTAGTTACACATATATTCAAATGATTATGCCAGGCAGAGACAATTATACGTCAAATATTAGCTACAGATCTACATTTTGCTTCTTCCTCTAATAACAATAATGTTGTAAGTAAATTTAAGAGAGAGAGATTATTATAAAGACCTGACAAGTCGCGTTTACAAGTTTAATGTATAGTACACTATACATTAAAGCAGTAACAAAACATGATACTTGCAACCTATGAAAAAACTAGCTTTTGCCCGCGGCTTCGCTCGCGTTAATTTATCCCCTTAGGGGTGGAATTTATCAAAATATTCTTAGAAGATGCCTACGTCATAGTTGCTTTACACATGCAAAGTCTCAGCCCGATCGGTTTAAAATTGACAAAATTTCATACAAACTTTCATCCCCTATTTTATCCCCTTGGGGGTGGAATTTATCAAAATCCTTTCTTAGCGGATGCCTACGTCATAACATCTACCTGCATGCCAAATTTCAGCCCGATCCGTTCAGTGGTTTGGGCTGTGCGTTGATAGATCACTATGTCAGTCACCTTTGAGTTATATATATTTAGATGATCTTAAAATACAATCATTCATTATATTTATTATCAAAATTCTATAGGGATATTTTAGGGTGGTATAGGGATAACCTCATACGGCCCTAAAATATCCCTATACAAATAAATTTGAAGGAACAAGGGTGGGGTTATCCCTACTCCATGATGTCTACTTACTACTTGCATTTCATTACGCATACTTTCATTAGAGTATCTGTCTAATGAAAGTATGCGTAATGAAATGCAAACAGTAAGTAGACCTGTCTCGTTAATGTTAAAATATTACAATTTCAATATTAAAATCTCAGTTATTCCAATAAAATTACAGATGGATTATTAGATAGTAATTTCATCTTAAAGTACTCGTTCAAAACATAGAGTATAAGCGTTATTTTGAATGTTCATTTCCTTTGAATATATAGATAGGTAAATACATCGTATAGACTGTCAGTCTCATGTGGCATTTGTTAGGCAATCAGTTAAATAAATTTAAGTTTTTTTACTACATTATTTGACTTTAAAACTAGACCTAAAGCATCCTTTGAGGAAGGTCTGTTTATTGTTAAGGAAACGGTAGTTAAAATGTCAATCGAAATTCACGTGAATTGAAACGTCTATATTCGAACAGTTCAAAGGTACGTTCGTTAAGACTATTAATTACTTATAAATAAACCAAGAAGAGAATGAATGGCAAGTAATTTACTAAAGAGATACCCACAGGTATTTAGTAGGTAGTAATAAATTAGTATGTAACATTATCATCTCTGTAGTATTAGTATCTATTTTAACTGACTCTAAAAATGGGAAGTTATTTTTCTGTCGTTTTTTTATGTTGATAGATCTCCGTCATTTATGCTTAACTAGCTTTTGCCCGCGGCTTCGCTCGCGTTAAAATATCCTCTTAAGGGTGGAATTTATTATAGTCCTTTCGTGGGGGAAGCCTACGTCATAGTGCTTTATGCATGCAAATTCTCAGCCCGATCGATTTAAAATTGACAAAGTTTCATACAAACTTTCATCCACTATTTTATCCCTTTAGGGGTAGAATTAATCAAAATCCTTCTTAGCGGATGCCTGCGTCAGAACATCTACCTGCATGCCAAATTTCAGCCCGATCCGTCCAGTGGTTTGGGCTGTGCGTTGATCGATCACTACGTCAGTCACCTTTGAGTTATATATATTTAGATATTCTTAATAATTCATAAAATTTCATCAAAGTTCTGTATTATTTGGGTTTGAAATCCCTACTTAATCATTATATGATAAACAAGTATTGAACCATAATGAAACATTAAAACCTAGCATTGTTAACTATCTAAATCAATGTTTTAAATTACGTAAGGTTATTATTCAGTCAATTTAAACTTTAATGAGTATTAATAAGATTTACAGAACATTAAGATCGTTTATGGAATAGAAATGTACGCCAATGTGCTCAGAATACATTTCCGTTTGAAATACGAGTAATTCGATGTTTACTTTAAATTGGGCGTTAGTGGATGTAGGACAAGGTGTTTGGCATCAAGTATAGTGATGCCAGTTTGCTCGTTTATATGCTCAGTTTTGGGGAAAAAATCTTATGTCATTGTAGAAGTAACTGATATAAAGTGGTAACAATCGCCGATATATATGATCAGCACTGCAAATATCACGCTACCATGATATCTAAGATGCCATAGATCTTATCCCGTAATTTGTCTTACCTTTCAACTGAAACACAACCTACATAGCACTTAGCGACTGACATGGTTAAGACCTCTGACTAGGTACGTCAGTATCTATTCATGTTTCTTACAATTGGAAATATGGAATATAAAAATTAGTTCGTGTTGTGGAAGATTGATACTTTCTTGTAGGATTAAAAAAAAAACAAGAACACATATAAATATAATACATACATCAGTACATGCTTCTTTACTGAGAGGACACGAGTAACGAGCAAGTTTCTTGATCGTTCGTCTCGTGATGAGTGTTTCAAATGAGTATTAGAATAAAAAAATGTGACTGTTAAAAAGTGCTTATACAAAGTTTATTTCAAGGAGGATTTTCATAAAAATATTTTTTTCACGATATTTAGGGAGAATATCAGACATTCACATGGAAACACTCTTCAAGTGTAAACCTACGCTAATGTGTTGGTGTTACGACGAAAAAATTGTACTGAGCAGAAATATTTATTGCCACTGTAAGATTAATTTGATGAGAAATATTATTAGATTGCTAAATCAACAGTTGGCATAAATAAGCAATTCTGTATATCTTACAAGAAATTGTTATTTTTATAAAAAAAAAAACTGTAAGATCAGTACAAAATTATAGAATTTAGAGAATTTTTCAATTATCTTTACATAGAATAAAACGATGTCAACGCTGTAGTCTGTACGCTTAGATCTTTTAAATTACACAACGGATTTTAATGCCGTTTTCAGTAATAGGTAGAGTGATTCAAGAGGAAGGTTTATATAGTATGTATAATACGTGTTATAGTATAGAACAAGCAGTGAAATGCAAAGATTCTTAATGAACCCGAGAGAAGCCGAGGCGGATCGCTAGTTGTTAATAAAATGTTATTGTTATTATAGAATTTGACCATGTTGGTGATTTAGCACACCGCATTACTTTCAACGATCGCGGATTACGTTCTCAATTTAACAAGCATTTGTATTTTTAAGTTTTATTGTTTATATTGGTCTGGGTGTTCTATGTAAATTGTTTAGATAGGTATTTGCATAAAAGGTACCTGTTTAAGTATTTCTATCAGTTGTTCAGTACTTGTAGCATAATCTCAGGTTAGCTTGGAACTAAATAGCGCTATTAGAATTATTTGGAGTTATTATCATAAGCGTCAAAAAGTCGAAGTGATACAATGAATGTGTTTTGCCATAACTATGAAGTATTTTCTAATAGTGGTGACGGTGTACGTAAAAAAAGTCTAATGAAATGAAGCGGGTAGACAAATGTATTTCTCAGCTCGTAACAATTAGTACCTCCAATGTCGTCTCCAGTCGGTCCGTAACCAGAACATTTGTAACAGCATCAAAATATCTGGAGCTCTTAAATATTATCAGGGTATCTATATATCTCTTTTATAAATAAATATATGTAAAGTGTGCAATTTTCTCATGTGGTTTACATTGCTTGAGTTTCAAATGAAATTGTGTTTTTGATTGACTGAACAAAGTAAAATTTTTAATGTTTATTACATTGAGCGGGTGCAGATAATGCTTGGAATAATCGTATGAAATTAATATATTTAATACCATGCATGCAGACTGTGGAAAATATACGAATTTCTCATGTAAATATTCAGAATTCCTTTCATTTTCGTAGAATTGCCGTCGGTTTTCAGATCATTAGGCTTAGTTATTAGACTCTCGGCTTGACAAGGAGAAATATTGTTGTAAATATTTGTTTTTGTAAACAAGCCAAGGTCGTGACTGAAATTTGTATATATAGAATACAGGTTTTTACAGAAATGAAAAAATCCAATTATTTGTTGTCTATTATAGATAATAGTTGACTTTCTAGACATTGTTACAAATACATCTTATTTAATGTTTTCTCATTTATCCCGAGGAAGCTTGCTTTGTAAACTGCGTCTATTGAAGGATGAAATAAAGCAGTGAAACAAGCTACAGGCATGAACGACATCCTCATACTTCGGAATGGCAACATCAGCACTGTGCTGTACTGTGATCACAGTGCTGATGTTTATGATGATGAGGCATTATAGGTTAATAATGCTGGTAACACTGTTACCCCGGCCCTCACTGGACATTGCAATTAGAATAAATGAATTACAAACTCAAGCCTGTGCTTAACAAAACTCTGCAGATTTTGTCAAGCAGAAGAGGAAACGCCACTACATATCTTATATGGTTGTAGCTCACTCATGCACAAACAAAATATCTCCTTTAGAAAGTACAACTATCCTGAGAGTCTAGGTAGGGAATTTTGAAAAAGAGCGAGGTTAATTCATCTAAGTAGATCTCAGTGTTACCAATCTAAAGCACATGACAATAGCCCAAACACGTCAATAAAAAAACCACTGTTAATGTATGTACATTAACATTTCCCATCAGTTAGGGCGTATGTTTGCCATTACTATTGTATAAAAAACAGATAATTGTAAATGGATAAGCATTGTAAATGTATATTCAAATTCAAATTAAAAAATCATTTATTCATGACAGGACATTTTAGCCGCTTATGAACGTCAAGTTTTTACATTACATTTCTTTTTCTACCGTCCAGTTCGGTATATAGATCAAATTGAGAAGAACTGACAAGAAACTCAAATGAATTACTTTTTTTTAAAAGCCTGTTTATTTACAATGTATAGGTATTTATATAGGTGTCTATGTCTAACATTAAATGAAAATCACAACTATAAAATAACATGAACAACTATTGCCATGCACGCTCGTCATTCAAGTAATCCTTTAGTGAGTAATAGGCTTTGCTCAGTAAATATGATTTAACAGATGTTTTGAATTTATTTAAGGGTAATTCTAATATATCCTTTGGTATCTTATTGTAAATTTTTATACCTATTCCCATAAAAGACCTATTGACTTTTTCTTAACGATACTACTATTAAAAGGAATGGTTACTCGCTCTCTTCTTGAACTGCCTCATAGAAATGTTGTGTCGAATAATTTGGTTTTTCTTTTTTAATGAAAATTGTTACTCGAATATAAAATCCAGCATCTTATTGATTTGCAAACCCTCTCCTTTAGATATATAAACTTTTTGTAGCTTTATATATTTAAACGTTTCTGTCATTATACTTTTTTTGTTTTTTATTATCTATCTATCTAATGATAATATACATAGGCAAATTCAAATTCATTATAATAATTAACTAGGAAATACGTAATACTTATATATATACATAGATATGTATATATATAATTGTACAGTCTAGAATAAGTTATATAAACACTAGTTCACTAATAAAAAATATCTATCTTAATTTATTCTTACCTATTTTACATAAATTGCCATGGTATTAGGTTTGGGTCACTGAGGTGGTCATGACCCTTATAATGTTTACCCCAAGCTTATATTCTAACCCTAAACTATAGCATTGCAATAATAGAGGCTTCTATATTTCATACAAAATAATATTTCAGAGCCAAACGCCTGATGTAAAACAATATTAGACATATCATATCTTGTTTTCTGATATATTCGTCAGCCTAGCTATAAATAATTATATCAAAAATACATCGCGGTATAATGAATATTTAGTGTTAGGGTTCACATCGATATTATCGAAAAATCTGATATTTAATATTAAACGAAGGTAGTTTCATTATTACTCGGTATCATTAGACTAGTTGCGTATAACTCCCAGTCATATCTTCTCTGTATAAAAAGGAGTTAGTTTTTGTAAGCCACGGCATTCGGTCTTTGAGCACAGGATGTGCTGGTTGTATTTTAAATGCTAAAGTGAATTGTGTTAGAGACAAAGTTGAATATATAGTTGTTATTTTATTATAATACATACTTTTACTATTACATAGAGTTGATATATCTTACATTAGTTAACTTACACATGACATGTGAATTAGGCATATCTACATATATGTTGTTGTAATAATTGGATTTGCAAAAATCTGTTTTCATCTATCAATCCGTGAACTGAATCTGAAACTGAATGAAATAACACGAAAATATTTACATAACTTGATGGATGAGGATCTGGCTATCTTGTGATCAAATAGACCTACATCTATTATGTATGTATATAAGGACGTTCAAATAGAGGACAGCATTCAATTCAATTCATTTTGTTTTGTGACTAGTGGAGCCTGCGACTTTATACCTATATTTTTTTGTAAAAAATCATCTATTGATGATAATTATCAAAAGCCAATAATAAATAAACCATTATTACATCGCGTATTATTTTATTAAACAATAAGTTAATAAAACTGAATGTAGCGTATTTAAAATTTCTGCTTTTGGTGGGTATTCTGGACTTTCTTTAGCCTATACATTGAATCATAATTATAAACATATTCCATGAAAATTTAAGAATATTTTTACAGATAATGTGCGTGTACAAAAAAGTGCGTGAGATCCTCTCATGCAGCAAACTTACAGACGAACGGACGGCTGAAATCGAGTCATTTCTGACGAATATAACTTCTATCATAGAGCACTACTAGAGATTCGAACCTCGACTCAGAATGAAAATACTCATCCGCTGAGCTATATTGTGTTTTTCTTTTAATGTACAAACAAACACAGTTTCTCTAAATTCCGCCAATATTGCCATTATATTTCGATATAAGACATATTATTTGATCGAAAACGAATAAATTAGTTTTTCTCGCAAACAAAAAATATTTAGAAATAAACACTGCTTTATTACCTAACAACTACAATCTTAATAGTTTAGTGCATTTCTTCAAAGCGCCTTCAAACGAACCCACTTTCACATTTGAATAGAGCGACCGAGGTTTTATGTACGTTTTTCTTTTGTTTCAGATGAAGCATGCTATGAATAACACAAAAGCCAAGTGCGACTCGTTACTCAACATGTGCAGGAGCGAAAAATTTGTAATAGTCATAACTTTAATTTTAACACAAACAAGTGCTATTGACGTTGCATTAGAGAATAAACATAAAGATACTAATGAAATAGAAACTGCAGGTATAAATAACAATGTAGAAGACAGTAATAGACCTGTAGATGTATTTAATCGCAACGATACAAAGAAAATCAATGAAAATATTGAAGAATGTATAGGTGATGTGGATTTCTGTAATATGACAAGAGAGGATTATATACAAATGTTAAACGATTACATATACCCACAGACATACGAATGGATACTAATTGGCACTCACACAGCGGTATTCGTGATGGGATTGGTTGGAAATGCACTAGTGTGTGTAGCTGTTTACAGAAATCACACGATGCGAACTGTGACAAACTATTTTATAGTGAACTTGGCCGTGGCAGATTTCATGGTGATTCTGTTTTGTCTGCCGCCAACGGTGCTATGGGATGTAACCGAAACATGGTTTTTAGGGAAATCGTTATGCAAAGTCCTGCTTTATTTTCAGGTAAATATATAATTATTTTCTTTTTGAAATGTCATCCCCTATTTCCTATCAGAAGCAGTGTCGAAATCATGGTAATACTTGACATGAATTTTCTGACATTTTGCTGAGCATATTTAAAACCATATATAGGATCAGCAATTATCGTATCTTGGGTTAATTTAATTTACTGTCAGCGTGTACATTACCGAAAAGAATTACAGAAATTATGATACACAACGTTTTTTAATGTCAATGAATTAGAACTTAAAAGCTTTGGTGTCTATAACCGGAAGCTAAACTACTAGACCGTGACGCATTCATTACTATAACCCTTTTATAAGATTATTTTCCTACTTGTGGTAACTAAGAAAGAATACAATGTTATTCCTTTTCATCTAGAGGATACAAAAGGGAACAAAGCAGACATAATCGAAGCTTGAGAAGGAAATCTCGAAATAAAACATTGTGTCATACCGCCAGACTACCGTACCATAGGAAAAATAGGCTTAAATCTCCTTGATCGATAATCAGTTGTTATGGCAATATAATCTATTTATAAAATGGATATAAGAACAATAAGCTTTCTTAATTGCTCTGGGGGCTCAAACAATTGAAAATAAATTATAATGAAAAGATATCTATAAAAATACTCATTAAAATTTAATTTCTCAATTATAACTAAAATTGAGTATAAAAGTAAAGTGTAGGTTGCGCTTTGAATTAATTACATTCATTCATTCATTTTTTTCATACATTTAATTCATCATGAGTGATACAACGCAATAAGTAATGTAATACAGATTTACAACTACGAAATTAACACTAGCTTTTATAAGAGATATGCTCCTATCCTCATTTATGAGAATTCAAAATATGTATGTAACAAATAGTTACGTGGTACTCTGTTATGGTTCTAAAAAAGAAAGGCTTCCTTACTTTCATACAAAGATTGTTTTATTTTAAGCGACTTCCACAAAATCTTTAAAATTAATCTATGCGAACATATGCTTGCAAATATTCGCATGGAATTCGTAAGAAACCTATTTTATTCCTTAATAAGTTATTACAAATCTACGTCTTAACTGTGATATATTATTATCTAGTATGTAGACATTGTCCTTACGTCGCGTCGTAAGCAATGCCTTACATCTAGTCGCATAGCATGCCACAGATTATTTTGTACCAGCGACTTCGTCCTAGTGGAATTTAACTTTATTTTTCTAAAATAAAAGTAACCTAAGTCAATCCTTATTATAAGACATTAGCTACCCTCCAAGAAAAGTCCTGTCTCAATCGGTCCAGCCATTTCAGAGATTAGCCGGAATAAAGAAATAGACAGACAGACAAAAATTATAAAAAATGTTATTTTGGTTTAGGTACCATATTTATATTCATATGCATGTAATAAAAAACGGTTATTTCAATATTCCTATATATTAGATAATGAAGTAGTTTTAGCTTTATTTCTACAATCAAATCACCAGATTTCTATCTACCACTAAATTAAATAGTTTGTAATGTTCTCATGTAAGTAACTCGTGTTAACTTGATATAGGTTTTGCTGTTTATTTATATAGGCCACGATTATCATTTAGTATCAAGTGGACCGTCAGCGTGTTTGCGATTAAATGTGATAAAAATATGATAATTCATTTATCATATTGAATCACAACCACATGTTTACTTAGAATAAGAATCATTACTCTTAAAAAATGTGAAATTAAATAAATTGCTGTAATAGGCCCACGTAAAAGTTCATTACAAGAACCCTAAGGCGACAAATTAATTATAAAGCCGTGTTCTTTTTCTCTCTTATCAGAAAACACCATTAAATAGAGTAATTTTAACGCCATTACGCACATAACTTCGTAGCTCTTTTGAGACAAATTCAATTAATGACAATTCAATTTTATGTGGAACTTATTTTTAATTCTGTTAAGAGCTTAGGATTCTTTTATTTTTATAATTTCAATGTTTTCTAATAGAAATAATCGACATTGACGTCAAAGTCGTATCTGTCTTTCAGCAGCTAAGTGCCATGCTTTTTAAGTGATATTTCAGTTTGAAGCATGAGATACGGTAGTCAAATTACAGGGAATGGGACATGATATTTCAGTTCTCTAGAACGGCAACTATATCACATCCTAGCATCATGTCCGTGGTGCTGTTCCTTTATAACAGTATGGGTCACCACTTACCATCAGGGGGTATTATTAATTTTTCATCGGGACACCTCTAAATCTACTCACCTAAAAACCATATGTCTGACTTTTGATATAGGGTAATATTTCAGATATTAAAAGTCAAACATTTTTGTTCATAAGTATGATTACTTGTTAATTGAACTGGGTATTTTTATGTATATATGTAATTACACCGAAGAGCTGGCAGCTACCTTGGACAAAGAATTAGTCTAGCTATTCAAAGAGGGAACGCTGCCAGTATCTTCGGAACGTTGCCTAAAGGGACCCCTTTTAATAATATATTTTAGTCATCATATTATATATTGTTTTTAAGCTTTTTAATTTTAGGTTCTTAGTTGTACAATTAGGTTATGTAAATACTAGTAATAAATTACAAAAAAAAAACAATTTAAGATTTCAGTTGTCTAGTACTCATAATACAAGCTCTTCTTAGCTTGGCACTTAATAGATCTGTGTGATTCAGAATTATAATTACTATTACTTACATAAAAATAGAATAAAAAACATGTTTAGTTTCAAAAAACAAGGCAATATCTAAACTGGCTGTCAGTCCAAAATGAAAGTCTAATGGATGACCTAATAATAGTAAGTTACGTTAGAAAATGTATTTCAAAAGAATGTCTACTATAAACAAACTCTTGCAGACAATCTGGAAACCAAATACAGACTATACCTAAACAATAACAAAACTGACTATTTTCAGTTAGACCACTCAATTCATCAAAAAATCTAGTTACAATTTATTACCTATGAGCATGTGATCATAAATTTAGTTACTATAATCCTTTACTTGGTTTATTACATTATAAAATTATTCATGATTTATGTTTATAATTAGACGTCAAATTGATCTGGTTGAAGCAAAGATCGCTTTCTCATCCAATCTTAATTTGATTTACAGCTAATAAAATTGCGCGGAATTTACACTTCACAAAGTTAGGTATTTAATATTAGAATTTCTTTTTTTTAATAAACTCTAAGATGTTTGTCTTAGATTTTAGTTTTTATGTCTTATTGGTTAAGCTCTAAATAATGTTAAAAATTGTTTTTTTTATGTAATTGGAATACCATCAGATGAGATGGCCTCATCGCTTTTACTCCTGGTGGTCGTGGGTTCGATTCCTCACACATTGCACACATTCATGAGTTCGATTGTCTGTATTGATTTGGGTTTTCTACGTATATTGGTGCTAGACAACTGATATATATATAATAAAATATTTTGGTCTCGTTTGTTATTGATATAATATATAGTACTTAGCAAATAATTACCATTCGCCAACAACAGTAATCGTCCCCACACTCTAGAACCTAAGTGGTCACGGGCTACTGCCCGAATCAAAAAGAAAATCCTCTAAAATTGTACTCAATTTTAGAGGATTTTCTTTTTGATTTGACACCCGGGTCTTTCAGGCGTCTATAGGCCTATATAATAATTAATAAGTCTGTAGGTCTATAAGTCTATAGGCGGTATCAATTTACCATCAGATGAGCCGTATGATTGATTGCTACCACTAAGATATAAAAAACATATAAAAATATATTCCATATACATATAATATTAATATAAACTTGCCACTTATTTATTAAAATTATTCATGTATTTTTTATATAATGACTAGCAGCTAGACCTGAAAGTCATTATAAATATTATAGAAATCTTTTAATAAAATTTTCTAGCCATCTATGAGTACAATACGAGTCGATGGCGTAATAAAAATAAATAATATGATATTGAAAGTAGCTGTCTGCTGTTATTGGCTATAATTAATTTTAAAAAGCATTCTAGAGTTATGGATGGATGCATTTAAATAATTTTCTCTATCACAAAACAGCTGAGTTTGACAGAAAATTTATGAACTTATATTATAAAGAGGAAGATAGGATTTTTTGTTTTGTAATTGATTTTTATAACAGCCAATTATTAGCCATTCATTGCCAGTCCAACTGATGGTAATTGATAAACAGTTTTTATTCTATTTTCAAACATATTACTATTATAAAGTTGTTTATACGTTATACCCCGCACTAGGCGAACCTGTATCGTGGAAGTCCACAAATGAATTTCCAGATGATTATTAACTATTACAGTCCTTATATACATGAACAACACTAGTTATCAGGCTACCATGTGACGCCAATGATACTACTGTCATGCATTCATTAATGAGAACTAAGAAGTCAATGCCCTTAGGGATCTTCAATAAAAATGGACTGTAGGTTTAAATATAATGAATTGCTAATATGAATTTATAAATTAATTGAATAAAGAGAGTGACGACGCGCGTCCTTGAAGCCGATCGTGATGGCATTGAAGTGTGATCGCCGACCTCGATGCCCCCGCACCCGATTCCCGCCAGCATCATACATTGCGTAGTAACATGCCTTAAGAGGCATCTTATAATTTCACTGCCTTGTCTCACTATATAACCGAAACATAGCTTACTAAGCAAGCTGAGTGGCTGATAAAATAGGTAACACTATGATGCTCATGCAAACGACTTTTTACAAAGCCTATCTTAATACAAAAAAAATCTGGAATATTCTCAAAAAGTTCATAATAATTAAAAAAAACATCCCTACTCACTATATAATACATATAGTAACAACATGCTGTAGATATTTATAAATAAATATATGTTTTCGTAATAGTAACTGCAAACTCGTGCAAAATCAATGCAGATTGTTAGTCTATAGTTTGTTAACATAAAAATGTGGAACCATGAGGTTATGGCAGTCCATACCTTTCGATGCTCCGAGGGTTTTAATGTTCTTCAGCACATATCAGGGTCCAAGGCATGTGTTAGCACAAATTCA